CAGGCATTGTCTTGGAGGGTGTTCAGAGTCTCCTGGCACGCGAAGAACTTGAAGGGTACTGGGGAAAGGATGTGACCGCCCAGATGGACGCAGAAAACCCGCCTAGAATACTTTGCACGCTATTCGATACAAAGTGGCTTGTGGTCGCAAAGGTTGTCGCGCCAATAGACACACTGCCTTTCATGGACGATCAAATGTTGGGGCGCATGGACGGCAAAGTTGAGCCTTGGGGTTTCCATGAATCTTACGTTTCTGATGGCAAGTACATATACAACCTGACTTGTGAGTATTTCCAACGAGAATAACTGTCTGCATGAATGACTAAACGCTACCAGCGTACCTCAGATATGGAAAACCCGATAAATACGTTGAGCTTTTCAAAGCTCGTGCCGGACAAACGCTCTCGAACTCATTACAAGACCAAGAACTGAAGCAAAGGCTGTGGTCAGACTTCCAATATCGAATTATTGCACAGTATGGTCCGACCCAGATTGCTGATTTCGACTGGAAAAAGTCTTTCAGGCCGATCCCCAGTGATTTGCCTGACATTAAAAAGGGTGGACCTTTCAAAGTCACACCTTCTATGTCGTCTGCTCAAGCTTCTCAAAAGGGCAATGCGACTAGTGCTCCAAACCAGATTGTACGACCAATCCAGAGCGTGGCCGGCTCGAAACGCAAGCAGAATGGGAAGCTTCAAGTACAGCAAAAGAGAGTGAAGGCTGTGACTCCAACCTGTTTTACACTGCCAGACCAAGTAGCTGCAGGCGTGAAACGGAAGAGTTCGCCGACTCCGGTCCGGCCGTACAAGAAGGTAGTCAAAGAATCTCGTGGCTCTGCTGGTGGTTCTTCATCTGAGATTGAGAAGTCCAGCGGAACAGCTTCAAGAGAGACAGAGAAGCCGAGGCAAGAATGGGAGTGGAAGGACTTGTACATGTATCGATAGTGATGGCAAGGGCGCAGATGAAAGATTGAGGCTGGATTGATGAGGGAACAGGACTCGGTTGAATGATGAGTTGATAGAAGCTTTTTAAGTGTGTAATCGAGATTTCATACCTCTCTTCATGTTCGAATTCTAGCTTGTCCATTTCCCGGCCATGTTTTCTCACATGAAAGCCGGACAGTCATGTTTCCGGCCTAAGCGAGAAGTGTAAAACTCTACCACAATCAAAGACGGGATCTAATTCCAATGCTATTTCAACGACCACCGCGCGACATTGAAATTTCTGAGATGTTCTCAAAGTGCTATGGAAAAGCTGTTTCTCCTCTACTCTGAGATCTATGCGTCTCGCAAGTCAGTTCCGGCTACCGTGTTTATGATCCCTTCATGACACATCTAGAATGATCCACGTCCAAAGCATCTTTCCTTCATTGTTCTGGAAATAAAGCAGAAATAAGCAAGGCCATGTCGCTAATTCCGGCAAGGGACCAGAACCCTGGCCACGGATCCCATTGGCGCGACACAAAGGAACAGGAAACCCACGTTGACCCCTGGCCGAAATATCCATTCAACAGGTCTTCCTGCTCCCCTTTTCAAATCAGAAAACTGGACTTGTCCTAACATTGTACCGCTCGACTGATCTCATTCATTTGAGAAGCGTGTGTGTCTGTCTCTTGTCTTTTCGTTCTGATCCGATCTGCCAAAAGAATTGAGCTCTGTCCTACGTTGCAAGGCTCTCACTTGACTTCTCGACTAACTTTTCTAATGCCCGCTCAATCCTCGAATCTGTCTTGAACTCAGACGCAGACTGGTCTCTGGCATCAATCATTCACTGGCATGCTGAAAATCCCCAGAATGCCGGATTCTTCAGGAAGCCGTTGGGAAAGGTATTATGGCGTTGGCGAGACACACCCGCTGCGACAGAACGGCCTATCATGGATGGACCCAATCTTCCCCTCGGTCGACCCGCAGACGCTCGAGATCATTGAACCGCCACCCGACACGATTCCACAGCCGTCTCCTCCAGAACTGGACGATCTCCTCTTTTCGGAACGACAGCAACTCTCATGTCTCTCGGGGTTGCGAACATGGGAAGCTGCGGTACTGGCAAAGACGGAAGCTTATACTGCAACAGGTGAGGAGCAAGCCATGATTAGCAACGAGGTACAAGTCGACGAGTCGTCTTGGCTGCCTGTTTGGTCAAGAGACCGTTGGATGATTGACTTCACTGCGCCCCCCAACTCGTCCACCAATTGGTCCGGATCGCGTCTCTGGAGCGCGCACGATCCGATAATCTGGGGAGTTCTTAGACAAGCGATACAAATCGCCGATAACATCTTGCGGAAATCCCTCGAAGGAGACTGGTAATTACACACTTTCGAAAGACTTGACATCATACTAGTAGGCAAGAGTGAGGTAGGGTGTGAATCAAGGCAGAGCTAACATTGTGCATTTCATTCTAGGCTACAATCTCTGCTCATCCCGGAAAACCTTGAGAGCCATGAAACGACACTCATGTCAGGTTTGAATAAGGTTGGTAGAATCTGGAGAATGAAATCATCTCCCGTTATTCGCAAACCCGCGAAAGAACTGATCCAGCTACTGTCCTCTCCATCCCTTTTGAACAGGATATTTTGGACTTTCAACGACAAAACAACCTTGAACACCTATCGGCCGGACGGAATCACCAAGGGATTGACGGCACCATACGATTTATCGGAAGGGCCAATCACGGTCTTCGTCAATATTCTTGGGATAAAGACGCTTCTGGATGTAAACGCCACTCAATCTTCCAAGAGTGCGGCGCTGGTGTGTCTTGCAGACACTGTACGTCTGCGACCTCGCGAGTCTTCTACTTACTACTTACTAATGCGCTCCTCTTTACAGTTAGTTCACGAACTCATGGTAAACCCTCACCAATTTTGGGTGTTTCTCTGAGGACACCTCCATTAGAATTGACTAACGCTGGAATACACTCATTACAGCATGTGATCGGCTTTCAAAACTTAAGCAGCGAGGCCCTGCTACAAACACTAGGAATCCCGCTTCATGGTTTTGAGATCGTAAGTAATCTGAATATTCTACTCGCCAGATCTGCTGACCAGGATGAATTTTGCCAGTTCGGTCCACTGGAGCACCAATGCGAGCTCGGGTGGTCATTTGAACAACATGCATTTGGAGGCACTGTGTTTGGACTTATCCCCAAACGCGGTGGAAACTTTCTCAGCACAAACTTTGCGCCATTGATTCTATCCATCAACAGGTTTCCCTGTGTGTCTGATCCTACACTTACCTATGACTTTCTTTTAGATAGCCCCACCATCGAAACGAGTTGGCCTTTGCCATCACTTTGGCATACTTCCCTTTCTTCCGAGGCTTTCTGGACTCAAATCGTTTCGAAGTATGGTTGTTCGAGCCTAAAGGCACCCAAAATGCTCGAGGTTACGAGGGAGACCGGAAACCGAGGCTTTTCCCAACCTTGGATCTGGACTATCGAAAAGTCGGCTCGGTTCAAGGAAGACTTCGTCCCTCAAAATTATCAAGCTGATGCGCTCAAGATGTCAGCGAGGAGTTTACAGAGTAGGCGTCTCAAGTATCAGAGAATGCGTCCGTGGTTCGAAGACACATATGCGATGTGGCAGATGACGCCTTACAGCCATGTCGATCCTCGGCACAGACTTTCACGTCTCTCGAAAGTTCCGCTAGTTCGCAGGAACCATCGTCACGAACTTGACACAGACCGTCTAGCCGGTTTATTGATTCACCCGCTATGCATGGGTTATAATCAATATGGCGTACTCGAATATGAAGTTTCTCAACAAGATTTTCAAGCTCGCATTTATGATGAGAATAAGTCGCAGTGGTTTTGGCGGGCCATAGGGTTTCTCTTGCAAGCCTCACTGCCGGCGCGAGTTGGGGAGGTCATACCAGCGAAACAGCCAAAACAGCTGCTGTCGAACCCTTGGACTATCACCCGAAGTCTCCCTCTAAGCCAGTCGCAAAAAGACGCAATCCAGGTACAGATTGAGACAGCACTCACAGAACGATGGTTCTATCCTCCGATTAACTTACAAAGACGACACCTACAAGATCCCAATGACCCATATTTGGCACGCAGTGATCGTCACAGCTGCATCGATCTAGCAGAGACCGCGTTCAACACATACACATCACTCTGCATCGAGCCAGCAGGTTTGCGAGACGCCTTTGTAGAAGAATGTTCAAGCTTAAGAGCCCAACTGGATGCCGACTTTGTGAACGGTTACACCTCGTGGCTTGACTTCCGCTTTCAAGTACCTCAATACCCTGGGCAAACGTACGATCGTAGGACACTTTCGTTATTGGACTTTCATCGGGCCGGGGCAAATTCTGGGAACTCTCCAGACAAGGACAGTGGGGACAGAGCTTCCGAGATATTCCACGGAGAAGACCCGGCAAAAATCCCCTCCTTGGACTTGCCGACTTTCGCGAAGACTGGTATCGTCACTGTGCCTTCAAAGTCAGGTGAGAGTCATCAGCGACATCAGCTACCATACTACACAGTCGCCGAGCTGTACGACCACGCGAAACTGCTTAAAGATGAGCTACTTCTAATCGAGAATGGGCACCATTTGGATATCTACAAATGTTCTGCCATCTGTCAGTCGCTTGAGCTTGATGAGGATGAACTGCCTGAGTTCACCAAGCCCACATTCTACGGCACTCAGTTGACCCATTATGGAGTGGAATGTCTCTACGAAGCTGACATACCTTCTTTGCCCTTGGGGCGAGTGGTTCGCATCCTGCGGGAAGATGACATTGCTCAGTGTGATGGAACTGGCGGAGACCCGTTATGGATCCGCATACAGAACAACGTCTTTGATATTACTCGTGCGTAGGACTGCAGATACAACACACAGTGATTGTCCGCTGACATCAGACAGACTTGAAATGTGTATCAGAGCCGGGATCAAGGAGACTCTTGGCGAGTAACCCAGGTGGAGATCCATCTCTTGAACTACTGCAAGATGGGTATTCTCTCGATGAGATCAACAAGTCTCTTGCACCGTGGCGGGTTGGCATGATGGCCAAGGCTCCAGGCGTAGTTGCCGACAAGCATTCTGTCAGAACCTTTACGCCCCAATCACTCAGAAAACATGAGTTCAGAGAGACAGGGATGTACGTTGCCATTGAAAACAAGGTTTACAACATCACCGGTAAGTAAAGAGACGGCCAAGGCTACAAAACCAAAAGGGTAATGACTGATCGTATGGAAGACTACGCCGAAACACATCCAGGAGGGCTCCAGTGTTTGGTCGAGAATGGAGGACGAGATATTACCGACCTCTTCAATAAATACCACCAAACGAATCGCAACCGGGTTCTCAAAGGTTTGCAGGAGCTGTACATCGGCAATCTGATCGAGCAGCGACAAGAATATGCAGACAACGATGTACAAGGTCTTGCCAATGACAGGCCTGTGCTTCCACATGAAATCAGGTTCGGCAGGGAGGTCTACTCGGTGAAAGGTGAGCTTGAACAACACCGTTACCAAGCCAAACACGTGGAAACATGCTAACACTCTGTTGATGCAGCTCTCAGAGACTCAGAGGAGCACGGAAAGTTCCCCGACCTTGCAGATGCTCTTTCTCCCTACCTCGGACTCGATGCCACTGAGGCTCTGCAAGTAGAAGAGTATGAGAACGGGCCCCTCATGCGCTTTGCCTGTCTCAGGGGCTACATTGTAGCAACTGTTGAGGACATAGGCTACGGTCTTCCAGAAATTCAGCTAGATGAACTCAGAATGTTTGATGGACACACCGATGAGGGCTACGATATCCAATACGACGCATTTGTGGCTTCAGATGGCTTCGTCTACGATTTGACATGTGAGTATCCTTCATACTGTGTTCTATCTTTAAGGCTACCTCACACATTCCTAACTCAGGGAAATCTAGCTGCGATGCTTTACGGATCGCGTAATCCCATCTACTCCAAGTTCAAACCATTTCTCGGAGGTATTGTAGCGGATGAGGAGTTGAAAACGTACCTAGACACTCATTGCGAAAACCTCATCTGTGCTGTTCTAGTACAGAGAAACAGTGAAGAGAATAGTAGACGCATTATTAACTGGGACCCAAGGAAAAAGGTTGCTCGTAAGTTGAGTCTTGCAGTCAGTTCAGATAAACTGTTAGTGACCCCTTTTTTAGCCCGGTATAAGATGCCTATCTGGGCGAACCGCCCTAAAAAGATTCCTAAACTCCCGGCAGAGAACGAGGTCGCTCCTCACATTGACACCATAGAAAAGATCAAGGAGGTTTCAAAGGAAGGAGATTTCGAGACGAAAGACGTCTTCGAACCCACTCCGACGGCGACCTTTCTTCAAAACACGATAAATCAGCTGGTCCCGGTCAATCAGTCCAGCCTTGCGGAGGGACTCGAGAAGCAAGAGCATCAAACCACCGGAAATAGTAATACCAAAGGCAAGGAGCCAGAGAGTAGGACAAATAGCTCAAAGTCGCGGCAACTGAGCAGATTGGAAGCTGATCTCAGACGTCGCAAGGACGAAAAAGTGATGAGGGAGATAGCCAGGACATGGCAAGAGGTGATAGCCTCAGATGAATCAACCCTACCGGCTGCCTACCCGCCAAAAAACAACGCCAAGCACACAAGTGACGGTGTGCTTCAAGAGAAAGAATTAGAGGAAGGGGAGCGTAGCGCCCAAAAAGACGCTGTTCCGCCCGGTATGTCAAGGAGAGCCCTCGAGGTCACCAAGAAGCGCAAGCCTGTGTTCGAAAGCGATGATGGCCCTCCGAGGAAACGACGGTAGATACTGCTTTGCATCCACATACCGAGCTTGCTTTACTTTTTGACATTGCCGATATCTGGAGTATTCCTGGGACTTGTTTGTTGGCGCCGAAATAGGAATGATTGATTCTCTCATTGATGGAGTCTCGGATAACTATCTCCATTGCGTTCGTATGGTTGTGGACTTCATAACAGAGTTTCTCATGTCACCGCCAGTCTAGGAGACCTGGACTCCTCGCGCTTAGTTTTCGTGACAATATCCACGCGTTGAACTCGAACGTTGAAGCGACAGCTCTACATCAGATCGGGCATGGACTCGGCCGAGATCCCCTTACTCCGCTCCGGCGGGCGCAATCATCGGCCTAGTCTGAATGGTGTCAAGTGATGACAAACCATGACGTGATGGAGTAGCGCTGTCGTTCTCGTCAAGGTCCAACACCGACTTGGACATTGGAGTCCTTCGTTCTTTGGGATTCCACATACTCTCAACAACATCGTCCCAATTGCAACGCCTGTACTTGTAGAACTCAGCTACACCATGTCTTTCATGCAGGAGCTCACGTCATGGATGTCCCCAACATCGTTGACCCTGTCCAGCCCACCAAAAGCGGGCGACGCGGCCCCGAGCACCGACCAGCTCCCATTGCCCAGGGATGGCGGTAAGCCCGCTGTAATCGCTTTCCTGCGGCACTGTGGATGCCCATGTAAGTCAATTGAAGGATGAGGTTTCGTTCTGTAGGGTCACCAGTGAGACTCACATACCTCATCCACCAGTCGCCGAGAAGACCTTCATCACGCTCCGCGAAGCAGCATCCAAACATCCCGAAATCGCCTTCATCGCCGTCTCTCACTCGTCAGAATCGCACACGCAGAAGTGGCTGTCCGAAGTCGGCGGTCCCGGCGATAAGAATCCGGTTCAAGTCATCGCCAACGAAGAGCGCGACGTGTACGCCAAATGGGGACTCGGCGCATCGAGTTTCTGGCACGTGCTTAGTCCATGGGCGCTGTCGGATGTTTTCAAGCTCTCTCGTGAAGAGGGAATCTCCAATAGGCCCACGGAGAGCGGCAACAGGTGGCAGACTTCCGGAGCGTGGGCTGTTGATGGGAAGGGTCAGGTCACTTGGGGTGGTCCAGCCACGACTGCCTCTGAGATTCCCGATGTCGAAAAGGCCACTGAAACGTTGAAGTAATGTATGTTCTAATTGGTATTATTCATATTTTTTGACACATTAAATTCGACTTTCGGCAGCTCCAGCGGACCAGCCCTGAACTAGACCGACAAACTTTTCAACCTCTGTCGCTTCCGTTGCCCACGTTGTGAGCAACCTCACCACAGCTTCATCATCTCCTCGCTTCTCCCACACATAAAAGATGAAGTGCTCCTGCAAAACTTTGATCAAGCTCATGGGAAGTACCGCAAACACCTGATTCGTCTCCGTCACTGCGTGAACCGAGAATCCGGCCGTTGCGATACCGCTAGACAATGTCTCGGCGCAGTAGTTAGCTAACCGCGCGAGATCAAAGTAGAGGTCTTCTCTAAACAGTTCGGCAAACTGTGCCCCCATAATTCTGCTCTTGGCTAGCAGTGAGCCATGCTGCTTAACATAGAACTCGAATTCAGTTGCTAGACGAGCGTCCTTGACGACCACGGCTTCTCCGAGCAACGCTCCGTTCTTTGTGCCTCCGATCCAGAAGATGTCTGTCAGCTCCAGGACATCTTGGAGTGTCATGTCGTTTGATTTTGATGCTAACGCTGTTCCGATGCGTGCGCCGTCGAGAAAGAGTATAAGCTGGTATTGTTCGCAAATCTGCTTGATTGCAGCAAGCTCATCTCTCTTGTAGATCGTCCCAATCTCCGTCGCATTAGAGATGTATACCAGTCTCGGCTTTGCCATGTGGGGAAAATGCCAATTCTCATCGACCGCTCGCTGGATGCTCTGGGGCGTTAACTTGCCATTGACTGGCGCGACGTTGATAATCTTGTGCCCACTGGCTTCCACCGCACCAGTCTCTCTTGTGACGATATGTCCCGAGCTTGCGGCAATAGCAGCTTCGTGGGGTCTCAGACACGCTGCGATGGATATGGCATTGGCTGATGTCCCGCTGGGGACGAAGAAGATTCCAACGTCATCGCGACCCAAGTGCCGCCGTATCCGTTGCCTGGCAAGGTCGCAGTAAGAGTCGCCTCCGTAGCCGGCTTCTTGAGATGTGTTGCCGGCCAGAATGGCTTTGAGCAGTGAGGGGTGAGCACCTTCACTATAATCGTCCAAAAAGCTGTAGCGAGGAGTCGCCGTGGGCGCGGGGAATTGTGAAGGCATATTATGTTGCAAGAAGGCGACGAGACGGAAAATAATAACGAGATCAGAACGAGTCACTGGAATCATGAGAGTCTGGTCCAGTTTCCCGGTAATTCTATATAGAATTCCCCATCCCCACCTCAAAGCCCACCGAAGCTTTCAGACGATGACAAAATCGGAGCGTTAGTAAGTGGAACGTTAGTCAATGATAGTCAGTGCGATCGCGGTGGGTCAGCGCTCAACAAAAAAAAAAGAGCGTTATCAGACTTTCCCGAAACTACGGATGTCTTGGTCTATGAGATTGCCTGCAAAACTTGACGGTTACATGCGGCGTGACAGCGGATAGGTGCGGGTTGGCAGTCCGGGGTTCCGGTGTTCGGGAAAGCATGAAGTGTTTGGGTTGACCGTGCAGTGCAGTACAATGCGCGGGGAAGAGGTGGCCCAAGACACGCATCACGGGGCCGTCGTCGAAGAGATGGTGCTGGTGGCATCCATGGAGAAGTCTATGAAACTCCGGTAGGTCTCGACCATGGAGTCGTCGAGGGGTTTGGGGTACGTGAGAACCTTTTGCGATCTTGGCTTGAGCGGTACGCCGTTGGCCGTGAGGTCGTTGGACTGATCGTAGAGTTCCGGATACTTGGCGTAAAAGGCTGGGTCGATCTTGTAGTACGATGCACCTTTGTCCATGTTCAACTGCTTGAACGCCGCGCGAGCATGGGACGGAGACGAGAAGAGAGTGGTGATATCCGGTGCGGGCAGACTGGCGGGGGTATCGTTGTTGCTGGCACCGGATGATAGTGACATGGCTGCGATAAGATCCGTCACCCGGACGTAAACCGTAATTTGAGGCGCTTCGCTTATCAACTCGGACATGACCGCTTCCACCACGTATCCCGAGACGGCGTCGCAAAAGATTTGGTCGATAAGGGGATTGGCGGCGTGAAGCTCTATCAAGCGGTCCCGGATCGAGGGAAATGGTATCCAGTCTATCACGCGCGGGTGCGGATGCTTCATTTGCATGTCGGTAGGCCGATACCGCTGGTGTAACTTTTGAAATGTTGCGCGCGAGGGGTAGAGTTGCCAGGCCGTAAGCTCGATGATGTGGAAGAAGCGCGTTTTGGCATACCATGCCATGACATCCGGTCGCGTCATGCTGTTGAACATGGACAATACCATGAGAACTGGTTGATATATGCTGAGAATACTTGTCAGTTTTGCGTGCCTGCGACATGTGGTCTGCTCACCTTTGCATCGACGGTTGGCTGTCCGGATTGAAGCCATTCGCCGCCAACTTGCTTTTCAGAAGATGCTGGAGAAGCTTGATGTGGTCCGAGAACGGCGAATTTGATATGGGCATATCTTTTCTCAGTGCCATGCTCGACTCCTGAGATGCAGCCATGGCAGTTAGGTACGGCTCTATTCCAGTTTGATACTCGAAACTCCAGATGTTTGGGATCTGCGTATAGAGGGGGCTGGTTCCGGTAACATTGATAAGTTCCGATGATAGAAATGCATCCTCAGATTGACCTGGAGTACCGTCAGTTGCTGGTCAATCAATCTCGATATCTTGGATTACTCACCTGGGCCAGGATGGTGGGCAAGCGGCGGGTCAAAATTCAGCGATGAGGTATCGAAAGGCTCAAGCTGCATAGATGGTCCCGTGAAGCCGGGGCCTTCATAAATCTGCTTGCTGTTGTATGTTGAGGGTTGCAATGAAGAGTCCTCTGTCTCCTCAGAACCTTTGTTGCCTTGAGATCCTGTATCATTCAAAGTCTTTGACACAGAGTCGCTCAAACCCTGAATGTTGGCAAGCAACCGCGACATCCTTGCCTGAACATCGACGAGTTGCGCCCGCAACTGCCTGTTCTCACGCTGAAGCTCCTCGATCCGCTCATTGTCGGACTTCTGGTCGGTGTTCACTCTGCTACTCAGCTCTCTCATGCGCTCCGCTTGTCTGCGACGGAAAGCCTGCTGTGATAATCGGTTGCGCAGTCGTCTTAGATTGATGCAACCCCTCGTTAGCGACTTTCGTTTTGGGCATGGAGTGCTGGCATTAACCAACTTCACCTACTTTCGTTCTTGTTCACTCATTGAAGAGCTCTTCTCTTCTTCGTGGGAAGTGTTTCTGGAGGGCGGCATCATGCGCAAGTTGCCTGGTGACTCAAAGCTCAAAACTCAGTCCTTCAATTATTGACTTTGCAGGAGGAAAATTGTAGGCTTATTTCTGTCGCACACTGGACGATCAGGTAGGTACCTTACTGGCGTCGTGGGGACCCGTACCTGGGACTGCGCTATCGGCCCCACCACCGAATGCTCCGTGCCGGGAAAGCCGTCACGGTGGCGCCGTAAAGTTGTTCTTCGGACGCGATCGGGATCACTCAATACCTGGATTCAAGAGCTAATTGAATTGAGTTGGACAAATTCCCAAAAGCTTTGTTTCTAATTCAGGGTTCTCCAGTCGTATCGAGATTCGGTGAAAGACACGCGATGTTATCCGTCATTAGTTGCTAGTCCAGGCACATAAATAAGAATGTTACATGTCTTCCCGCGCAGCGCACTCAGATCTACTGAAGTATCATTCCTCTAACGGAACAACGACGCGGTCAAACCAGACGAGTGGCTCATCGCCTCCCTCCAGTCTCAGCCCGACACCAATTTGCGAGACTTTGCCAAGAATATCAACTTTAAATTCAACGGGTACGCAAAGTATCGGGATGCCAATCGTTTGTGCTTTCTTTCCTCCCATGTATCCTCGACCAAGCCAATGATTGGCAGACATTGGCTCGAGGTATATCACTGGCTCAAGGTACGCAAACGCCTCACCTCCCATTCCGAGAACGCGAAGCTGGCATTTCTCAACGGAATCCGAACAATCCAAGTCTACCTCGAGAGTGCCATATCCAGTATCATGGAATTCTCCAATGTGATCCGGAATGGGCACTGTTGGTAATAAAGGCGGTGTCGGAAGCGAAGGGTAGAGTTTGTTTGCGCAGGTCTGGAGATATTCCAGCTGGGCTTTCTTCTCGTCTTTGTACCTGTCCTTTCATTAGAACTCCGAATAACCAAGTAACCTGCAGGAAACTTACTGTTTGTTCATATCCGGTCTTTTGTCTTGGGGAATCCCCAAGTGTTCCGAGAGAATATGAGTCGCAATTACCTGCGGGGCCTTGACATCCGTATTGGTGAAGACCACCACGCCTACCTGCTGCGAAGGTATCATCATCATCATCGAGATGAACATGTTGACTCCACCACTGTGGAAATACACCTGCTCACCTCCCAAGATGGCGGTGTTCCATCCTAAAGCGTAGCTCACTGGCCCAGTGAACGGGGCCATCGCAGGAGCCACCAAAGTACGCGGCGTCTTTACCTCTCGATGTCCCATCTTGGAGATCGGGGCGGACTCTGTCATCATGACGTGCAGGTACTTGGCGTAGTCGAGGACGTTTGATACGATGGAACCTGCGCCTTCTTCGCCAGAGGAAGGCTCATGCGGTACTTCCAGGTAGCTCCCATCATCTGGATTGTAGTAGTACTCCTTGGCGAGAACCAAGTCGCTCTGTTCGGCGTCTTTCAAGGAGAAGTACGTCTCATTCATGGCCATGGGCTCCCACAGGTACTCTCGGAAGAAATCGCCCAGCCACGATCCAGTCAAGACCTCGATAAGATAGCCCATGGCCCCGAACATCTTGTTGTTGTACAAGAAAGTCGTGCGTGGCTCAGCGGCCATTGGTAGATGTCGTAATAGGCGGGTAGTTCCCTGAGCCGTAGTCGCTGGTGCCAGGTCATGGCGAGGGTAGCCTGTCCGATGGCTCATAGCGTCCTCGAGAGTGATGTGAGCCGTAGCCCACTCATCGCCGAGGACAAAGTCATCGCGGAGGATGTGGGATACCGGCGTCTTCCAATTGAGTCCAGGGAATACTGAAGAGGTCACGCTCGCGTTGTCGATGAGGAGGGAGATGCCGGCGGCAGTGAAGGACTTGGTGGTGCTGCCGGTGAAGTAAAGCGTATGCGGGGTGACGGGTGTGGAATTGAGAAGGGCGTAGCCATAACCCTGGCAAAATCAGTCATCCATTGTCACTTTGTGCGCGTTGATCCCTTGCGCCCGAGACCACGCGAAGTTGGAAAGGGGGAGGGGGTCTTCACCTTTGCCCAAGTGTTGTTCCCGTCAACAATTGCAACGGCTAGACCTGGGGCATGCCACTCTTCTCGAATTCGCTCAATAAATTCGTCGAGATCTTTTGACACTACGCGAGGCACATCGCCGATAGTTTGATCCTCGTTATGGAGAGGGCTCTGTGCTGTATCTTGTCCCAAGGCTTGTGCCACCCACAGGGCTACAATTGGAAATTGGAATGGTTTCATCCCGATGAGTGCATCGACATCAGTAAGAAAGATGGCATAGTTGAAGGAATGAAGATGTTCGACCTTAGCAGATGGCCTGAGCCCCTGCATGTAAGCTCGGAGGAAAGTCCCCTCACCGGGCGTTTAGCTGCGCCGCAAGATTGGTTTGAGGACCAATAGTTGACGCCAACTTGCCATTGCCACTTTAGGAAGGTGGTTCATCACATTGACTTCATCGAAGAGGTAAGGCCTCAGCAACATCGACACTATGTCCAGTCCTCAACAATAACAATCCACATCTATACCGGGGAACAGAAGCTTTTTCACTAGACACAAAAAGATTGAAAGAGAGCGAAACAATGGCAATTTAAGCGACACAACATGGCATAAAGCCTGTCGTCATGAAGAGGAGCATTCGCAGCCATCCTGGAGACAAAGCCGTTCATTGTCCACGTCCTCGGCCAGCCCTCGACTTTCTCGAGACAATGTCGTTGTCCTGAGGAACTTTGTGTTCAGAAAACCTTTCTCGCAGAACCCTTTGATGACAATGAAGCCGCACTAAATCATTGTGGTGCTATCGGATCTGTCTGATTTAAGTGTACTCACTATGCCGTCTTATTCTCACTCTAGAGAAGACATCACCTTCATCTACAACGCATCAACTCCCGAGTCCCAACCAAACAAGCTCACTAAACTTACACGAAAAGAAAAACACCAAGAAAGACGAGACTGAAACAACAATCCCCAACACATTACTCCCCTTAGAATCTACCAAAGCAAACCAAAATGGACGCAAGCAACGCTGCTCATCTATTTGAACAGCTTAGTGGAGAAGACATGAGACACTTGGCCAGTCTCTCAGATGACGATATCAGAAGACTGGCGCTTCTGGCCACGATTCGCATGTTTTCTCAGGGGGCCAGTGTGAGTTCCCGCGGGACTACCGTAAGGCCTATCCCCACAGAAGCGCAGCCAATCCCAGGTACAGACGTAGAGGCACCTACAGACAACCTCAACACCGAGGACCATCCTCATAAAGACGATTTCTGCAATGATTCTTCATATCCTTGCAACTCCATCAACTCCCCGGGTGCCCCCTCCGACCTGCCTGAACGCTCTGTCCCTCAAGGAGCATTTCGCGGGTTCATCTTTGGCAGTAGTTCAATGTTCCAGACTGATTACCAGCTTTGCGCAGATCACGCTCGTATGTGTAGAGGTGAGTACTGGTCCGAGTCAGAAGAGTCATCTGACTCGGAGGAGTCATCTGAGGACGACAGTGAGATGGAAGGGCTCGATGAGCCCATCAAGATTTCAGTAGATGATTACATCTATCTTGATGAGGATGGAAACGAGTTGGACTCTGAGGGACCTGGTTTATCAGATTTGAGATACGACTTTGAGAGTATGGTCTGTTCAAACGAGGAGGACGATAACAAGGAGTAAGGCCATCAAGATGCCTTGACGCGCCCTGGTCTCGAGGGTATTCGCAGAGCGAGTGCTCACGTTGCAGGTCACTTGGCATGTAGAGGATGTCGAGAGTAGAAAAAGTAATTGCACGAAACTGGCTTTTGTGGTCTATCAGATTACTTACTACTTACTTTATGTATGCTGGCACCCGAGGTTCTAACGAAGCTGTGTGAGTACATGGGCTTAATTCCTTTCAATATGACGGCTCAAGGAGACGCGCGTCCTTCCATGTAGCCTTACCTACTTTCAATACAATGTGACGAGAACGTGGACCTTCCACATGGCTCGTCATTTGTGAAGACTGACTGCCGGCTATCGGTTGTCATCTCCGATGTGTATCCTAGGCACATTTTCTCAGCCGGTGTCCGGATATCGGTAGTTGCGGAGATTTCTTCAGTCGATTGAACGACTATACGAAGAGGCGGTGTTGATCAACTCGTGAGGCCAACATACTGACCGTCCGAATTACGTTGTATCCGGCCCCACGACGCGGTCTATCAGCTTACTATGGAACCCTCTCAACATCACCCCACGTGTAGAGATTTGTGGTCTACTATCCCTTACCCGTAGTCCACATTTACACAAAAACCCTTGAGTTATGGCTTTAAACCGGGCCCAAGACAACTCAATACCCAATTTCTCGTCAAGGAATATCTAGGCATCAGCATTCGTTCCCCTTTCGAGGATTTGCATCCTGTGATTCTAGTCCACTTGGAAGCGCATCCTAGTGTGTCTGCGGAAGCATCGAATGTTGAGATAATGCGAAAGATGACAACATCTAGGTAACTCATTACAACATTTCATCAAAAGGTATAATAGAGTCGAGAAGTCTCTCAATTAACTACTCCTCATCAGAGAAAGCAACTAGATCATCAACACTCACCTCTCGACCACATCCACAACACAACCAAATCCAACACTCCTACCCCAAATCACATCACTCAAAATGCGATTCACCACCCTCATCCTCACATCCCTCGCCACAGTGGCCCTCGCATCCCCCCTCGCGGACACCAACAACAACGGCAACGCCGACGCCCTCGAGGAGCGAGCCCCCATCAACGTCCTCTGCTCCTGCGCTGCCACCTCCTCCTGCGGCTGCAACAGCGTCATCGCCGGCTCCTGGTGCGTCTGCAACGGCGACGCAAAGGGCAGCTGGAACGCCGCCCCTTGCCAGGGTAGTACTTCCTGCGGATGCTCGGGCTTGGGCAAGTGGGGTGTTTGCGAGGTATATCTCTAAGACCCTTTCGTGAGGGAGACTGAGCTAATGCTGTATGAAATTTTAGATTGTCTAAATGTATATGCCTTGCTAGGGCGTACAGTCAGATGGGATTTGTGAAAGTCGGGGGCGAGATTGCAGATCCATCGTTTCGGTTGATGGGGCCTAGAGTGTTAGGTATTGAGGCTGTAGAAGTATTCCTCGACACTCCCTGAACTCATGTAAATATTTGAGAGCCATAATTGCCCAGTAGGACACCGAGACTGGTCAATAAAGTCAAGCCACTCAGAAAACTTGTTACAGAGGGAAATCGGGTTGATGGTATCATCAAAGCAAGTAATCATTGTTGGATATCTGTGTAACCGGACCACATAACGCCTATCCCCATATCCATCCCACGATAGAGAAGCCGCTTTGCATAGCTAGTAAAACATAAGCAGTACGAGACACTCACGCCAGAAGGCTCTATAATGTACAACAATCCCGAGATACGCCGGTGCTTTTCCTTCCGAAAGATAGCGCAAATGGGCGCAGCGATGAATCATGCAGAAGGCTCGCTCTTGACTGCTCCTTGGCCACCAACACTCTCAACGGTACTACCGCAAAGCTGGGCTAACAAAAGATCGTCCATATCAGCTATAGCCGAGTCTGCAAACGGGTCGTCACCTTCGTCCCCGCCGGGAGTGTTTGCAGGAATTGCGCTCGCGTCCTGATTAGGTCTGGCGAAGCGTTTGGCTGTCTGCTCCAGCTTATGGTACATCTCTGCGCGGAGCAGTCGCTCAGCACGGGGGAGGCCCGTAGGTTTGGGATCCTTGTCGACACCAATGAGGACATGCAGATAGTCGCGGGCGAGCAGGCTATAGATGTCTTGAACATATGTAGTCAATTCATCCTGAAGTCGTCGGCATAACGCCTCAAGCTGCTCCTTGACGCTATCAGTGGAGTGGCGGAACATGGTATCGCTGGAGGTCTCGACGTGGCTGACCATATGGTTCTTCATGCGAGCGTAAGAACCAGGGCCTATTGATAGTTAGTTGACGAATACCTGGAAATAAGCAGTGGTCGCCTGGCTTACCTGACTCGGCGACACAAATGTCGTAAGCCGGCTGCATTTCCCGCTGAACGACAGGGTGGAAGCCGCGGCTAGCCTCACGCTGCAACTCTTGGACGACTGTGCGAAGTGTCCCAGGAATCTCCCTGAGACGGGCGGTGTGAGCTCGCAGCTGCGTACTCAGCATGTTGATGCCGTTGTAATCGGCACCCAGTTCTTGGGATCGTGCAATGACGCTGCCATGGAAGCCCTCAAGTAGAAGGCGAGCGTTCATAGCGAAGCCCTCAAAGGCCGATGGCAGTCGACGTTGGAAAGCCCGTTCCCAACCACTCGCTAGCTGTCGAGAGATCGGCTCGAGCAGCTCTGCGTTGAAGTCGCGAGGACCAGATGCGCCTGAATAGACCCCTGACCGGCGGCATGTTGCCTTGTATGTGGCCCAAAACATTTCACCTTCGCTATGATGAGCACCCCAGCCGGATGCCGTAGGTCCCGCCGCGCTGGCTGCCATAGGAATCGATAGGTCAAAGTAGTCGTAGATGCTTTCCGATAGGGCGTCTTTCACGGAAACGATGCAGTCATCAACGGCTTTGGCGAAGTCCTGTCCCGTGTCAGTCAGTGAAAGTAACGCGAGGATGAGCCGCAACTTACGTTGTCCAGTGTAGCGAGCTGCATTCGCACACGAGTTCCCTCACTCTGCAACTCGCGTTGACTTAAATGAGACCGCGATCCATCGTTGGCAGCCCACATTTTCATTGAGTTGAGCAGTTGGCCGAGTTCGGTGAGGAAGCTACGACCACCAGCAGCGCGGCCGCCTTCGGTGAGCTTCTTGGCGTGCTGCTGGAGTTGAGGAACCTCTGTTTCGTTGACATCACGGAAGCCATCGTTGTTGAAATCATCCTTTTGCAACCGTCCCTGCATCTTCTGGTAAGCGCGGCTGCTCACGCAGAAGACGGGCAGGTTGCGGGCGACCTCGTCGTAATCACGGATATCCTCGTCGGGATTGAACGTTTCTTCGTCTTCCTCGATTGCAGCCTCTTGATCCAGCCTAGGCAAGTTAGTCTGCGTCCCTTTAGGCGAAGGCCCAAGTTGACTTACTCCTTGATACCCATGGCAAAGTCACGCTGAATGGCGCCCTTGGAATAGTTGTTTCTGCCCTGGATACACACCGCCTTGGCTGCCCCAAGCAGCCGCTCTTCCTCTGCCTGAATATGCTTTATTTCTTGTCGCATGTTGAACAGCACCGCATCCACCTCCTTGCGTCTCTGTCGGATTTCCTTCTTCTGATGCTTCAGATCGGCCAGCTTCTCATGAATCTTATCCTCTGTCAAAGGCTGCCGGTTCTGGTTGTCGGGATTGTTTTCCTTATCACTATCCGAGTTGTAGTCCGAATCATCTGACTCACTGCTACTGGAATAAGATGACTTGCGTTTCCGACTCTTGGACGAGGTAGCTCCACGTTTGCGTTTCTTGCTCTCTGAGGGGGCGAAGACACTCTTTCCATCCGCATGTTTACTGGCGAGGTCGTCCCACTTATCCCAAAGCGTGTCGATTTGCTCCAAGCCGTCGACGAGGTCCGACTTCTCTTCCCTGGCGTCATTGAGCTTTTCCTTGAGTTCTCGAAGTTCGCCGCGTAGCTTCTCGATCTTGGACCAAGAAGCAGAGATATCGGATTCAATACTGAGACTTTCAGCAGCCTCAGTCACTGAAATATCATCTGTCTTCGAGCAGATGAATGTAACGGCCGAGTAAATACCGTCGTACTTGAGTTGGCGCTTGAACGAATCACCCAGCAGTGATTTCGCTGTCTTGTCGTCGACGGCTCTGTTAATAGGAGCAACAATCCAAAGACCGGTGCATGCCTTCATGTAGTTTTGCGCCACAGCAGCACGAGCTGCGTTGGAGTCCTGAACACCAGGAAGATCGACGATGACGACACCAGTAGACAGGGCGTTTGCCTTTGTGAAAATCCGAACAACCTTGATCAGGGGCCAAAACTCCATGGGAACGTCCTTCTTGTGCGGGTTCTTCTCCTTGCTATCCACATAACGTTGCATGCTTGCATACAAGTCCTTCGCTGTAGTTGCTCTCAGCTTCTTGACGCTGCCAAGAACACGGGCAACAGCAGGCTCGTTGACCAAGCGGTCAGGGTCGCTCTGAGCGATCATCTCTTTTGTTTCGTTCGGGTAAACGGACTTGATCTTGGCGTAGGCGATTCCTGCCTCACTGTCTTCGTTGGCGCATTCGCGTGAAATGTTCCCGCTATCGTCGAGGAGATCAGTGAATAGAGTCTTGAGCTCCTTCTTCCAGTCCTCGACGGAAATGAACTCTATCTCTGAGCGATAAAGCTCCTCGGGGTTCTCGGAATTGTTATAGGAGATCTCAGTGGGCGAAGCAGTGCAAGCGCGCAGGCAGTTGGTCGGTAAAAGCCGCTCCTCATCAAGCAGGGCGTTGATGACAGAGCTCTTGCCAGCACCTGTGTTGCCCACGACGCCAACGATGGTTTTGGACGGCCGAGAGCGGGCCTTGAGGTCCTCAATTGCCCTGACCCATGTCATAGCCTGCGTGCCTGGCAGAGAAGCGGTCAGGCTAAGGGGAGCCTCGAGGCTTTCGAGGACCTCTAGGCCGATTTTGACACCTTGTTCAAGGATCTCGGGGGAGGTTTCTGTTGTCCATTTCTCTAGGAAATTGGGGACTTCTTCTTGAGTGGCAGGTTGCTCGGGTTCTTCCACAGAAGTTGAAGATTCGTTGGCTGGATTGGCGGGGCTGGCAATGGGGTCGGCTTGCTCTTCCTTGACGACGGCTGCGGAACCCGGCTCAGGCTTGATGTGAAGCAGAGAGGTGTTTGGTTGAGCAGTTGCCAATGCAGGGGCAGCGGTAGATGCTGAAGGATTTGAACTTCCTGCTGGCTGCTGTAGGCCCGCATCGGGAACCATGGGCAGCTCGTGAAGGCCGGCATTTGGCGCCTCAGCCTTGACGCCCTCCATCTTGATTGGGGGCACCATGAGCTTGGGTGGTGTGTGAGTTGAGATATGACTAAGCCGAAATGGTCGACATGTGAGGCAAGCTACCGTAAGTCGGTACTGCAGGAGTTGTGGCCAGGTGAAGGTAACATTGACCGAAAATCTGACTCATGAAGTTCTGTGCACGAGCGAATATAAATGCCGTCAAGCAGCTTTAGGCGGATCGTGGTGGTTTCGACGGCGGTGATTAATGAGACGCGACGGGACGGGAAGCAATTAGTTTTCGCGTCTTGGGCGGGGCAGGAACACCTCTGGAAGGATGGAAGTCGCCATCCCTGTACGTACCCCTGTCGTCCCCTGCAGAAAGGAGCTCCTTCCCATGACTGCTTCGGCAGTGGAAGATCACGTGCCAACGTCACACCTTGGGATAATATGATTGGTCAATAAGCCAGAGCGGATCTTGGCCTGCTGTTGTTGAGCCCGGGAGGCAGTTGCAGCAGACGTGTACCTTCCACTGCGAGTTCTGCTTATCTAAACTGAAAGATGACAAATGGAAGGTAAACCTGGACAGAAACAGCAGGAAAGTGCTTGAGGTTTGAGGCTCGTGAGGCTCTGCTCGAAATATAAGTCAGGATGAAAGATCAGCTATAGACCATTGCCAAGGACTATATTGAGGGACGGGAAGGATTCAGTCAGGTAACACACTGATTACAATTGCATTAATGACTTGAGAATTTGCCTATCTCAACACAATACGCATGTCGAAAAAGCCTGGTAAATAGGACAGGCAGCAAATGTGCTACCTCGAACGCGAGGTCCTCGGCATCCCACTCAGACTTCGGTGAGCTTCGGTGTAACCGTTGTACGGTAAGGCGTCTGACTCGCGACCTCCCTAATTCGTATTCGGTGTTGCCGAGGCGCAATTGAAATTCCTCACGATCTCCTTGTTTTTCCGTTCCGCAGGTTGAGTTCTCCAGCATTTTGTCTTGGCCCAGCCCATTTGAGGATTTTGGGATAAAAACTCAATTGCTGCCAGATTTGTCTGAGACAAGTGACGATCATCAG